TGATTGTCCTGCTGGGGTACTCTGGGTTTCTTTTCCTACTCCTCTGTGGTCTTGATTGTGTGACTGAATGCATGTGATCTACCTACTCACCTGATTGATGGAAAATGAAGTATCTTGACCTAAATGCCGAGTCTTTCTACAGTGCTTTGTCTTTTCATCTCTGAACGGTTGTAGTCTGTAGGTTCTGCCAGAAGTTGAAATTTCGTTTTTCAGTGCAGTAGAGACTGAACTAAGTCCATGTGGAACTCCTCTTGGTTGGGACCTGGTTGCGACCTACATGGGACCTCTGGGACCCAACTGGACCGGGCCCAAACAAGAAGAGTCTCTGGACCCAAATCGGTTAGGCATTGGCCCCTTGTCTTCTTGGCTGGGATACGAAGTTCATTCTTCTTGGATTAGGACACCCACTGCCGAGGGGATCTTGGCTGAGACGTTTCGCATGTCTTCTGATTGCACTGTCCGTTGCTTGACTCGCACCCTGTACACCACTCAATTCTCCATTGTTGCATTTAGTCACTCGTTGTCTGATTTGCTGTACGGTCACGGAGCTGGTCAGACTGGACTCGAGAGGACCTCGTATGCAGTCTGATCAGACTGGGTCGCTGGATCAGACCTCTCGGTTGAATTTGTTTGTTTTTCTTTGGTTTGTTGCTCTCTACTTCCAAATGAAATGTCGCTCCGGCTAGGAGTTCTACCTTCTCTTCTCTGAGCTTTTCAATTTGTTTCTTCATTTCCGATGCCCGTGGAGACTCGCAACCAGAAAGAAGAGAGAGAGAGGAGGGAGAGAGAAAAGGGAGAGAGGGAAAGTGACCGTCTGAAGTGGGCAAGGACTAGGAAAAGGAGTGTTCGTTCAAGTGAGAGGGGGAGTGAACCTCTTGAGAGTCTTATTGATTCTTTTGCTGACTGGCGACTCTCTAACCCACCTGTCAATACTAACTGTCCAAAAATGGCTCAGCTAACTTCAGTGCAATGGCGGGCCTTGTTAGATGCAGCCAGTGATGCAGAAAAACCATATCTACAGGCATTCCTAGATAGTGCAACCGAAAGGGAACAGGAGGCAGAGAAGGAGAGGAAGGAGACATTGCTGAAAAGGCAGGTGGCCATCCTAGAGACTGTTCCCTCACTGACTGAAGAGCAGTGTGGGGAACAGTTGCAGTCTATACTCACCGCCCTTGTTCAAGTCAGGAATCTTGAAGATCATACCACTCAGATCGTTGAAGTCTTCGCAAAATTGCGAACACTTCAGGATGATCTGACTGATATGACGCGCAAGTGCCATGAACTGACAAAGGAGGTCGCCGAGCTGCGACAAGCCCAAGTGGCCAATCCTCCTCCTCTACCCCCTGGACCCGAAGCTGCAATTGAAACTACCTTTGCCTCTCTTACTGTATCTTCTTCCCTAAATGTGATGGCAACCCCCTCGGGACCTGCAACAGGTGCAGATTCCGCTGTTGCGGTGACAAGCAACAAGGCTGGAAATTCTGCAACTGGTGCAGCCCCAAGATCGGAACCAGCAGGAGTTGGTCCCAGCTACGCCGGTCCCTATGTGGATCGTAAGGCGGTTCAAATACCGTCTAAGTACGACGGCAAAGAAAACATCGAGTCCTGGATCAGCTCCATGAGGGCATATTTCGAGGTTTTGGGGACTCAACCTAAGACCCAGTCCGTGATCATGGGAATGAATGTTGAGCCGGTCGTGAAGGGCTTCTTAGAGGTCCAAGCTACGCGAGTTGGGATATAACGAGCGCAAAGGCAGAGGTCGAGGAGGGAGCAAAGGGAGAGAGAGAGTGAGAGCACACACACACACTCACTCACTCATGCGACTGAAATCGACGGACGCAAAACCAGAGGCTGAGGCACAAAGTCAAAGTCTTGGTTTCGAAGGCCCAAATAGCAAGTCACACTGAGTACGAGTACAGCAGCAGAAAACTGGTACGAGACTGGTCCCCGTACCGTACGGGGGAGCCGGTATAAGTACCGGGGACACGTATGGTACCAGGGTCAAAGGCCCCGAGGACAAAATTGAAAAATGCGGTATTTGAAAGTGGCACCCGAATTGCAGCATGGCGCCAGTTGTCCAAAATCCTACGGTACCAAAGGAGGGGTTTGGAAAAAGGGTGCCAGGCCGAAAACGGGATGCAGCCGAAACAGCAAAAAGATAGACCAGGGATCGAGCCATGGTGGAGTCCGTAACACTATCCCCTCCCTCTAGAAGGCAACGTCCCGACTGCCAAAAATCATGAAGCAATGTTGAAATCTGTAAAGGACGGGACGGGGCCGATCACTGGTTAACAAGTCGAAAGGGAAGAGGGGTATAATGTGGGTGGCAAGGGCTGCGTGAGTAAGAGGGAATAGGGTTTGGTACCGATGAACAGAGTTGTCCTACTGATGAACTAGTGGGGTTGCAAGGAATAGGGTAGTCATGCAAATGAACTATAGGGACGGCAGGGAGCAGGGTAGTCCTACTGATGAACTAAGGGGACTGCATGGTTTGCTATAAGTTAAGGGGGAACAAAGTTCAGGGAACAGGGGACTTCTATTGAAGTTTTACTGGGTAAGGGAAACAATGGTCAGGGGAACAGGGGATGTCTATCAATGTTCTAGCGGGTACGGGAAACAATGGTTAGGGAAACAGGGATCTGCTAATGATGAACTAGGGGTGCTGCAGGGGGAACAGGGTAGTCCTATAGATGGTTGACAAGGGTGAAGAGGTAACAGGGTTTCCTATTGATGATCTACAAGGGTGAACGGGTATTTCAGTGGAAATTCTACAGGGTTATAGGTTGTTAGGGGACGAAAAAAAATAATAATAAAAAAATAAAAATTGTTTGTTGCAAGGTTCAAGGGCACAGTTTGCATGTACAAGGGTTGGGATGTTTGATGGGATGTGGGTACAGAGTCGGAGGTCTACCATGGGTCACGGGGTCTGGGGGAGATCTTCAAGTGTCTTGATCGGCAGCAGGAAGGGGTCTTCGGGAGTCTTGAGCAGTCCCAGGTCAGCGGCAGCAATAGGGGTCTTGAAGGAGGTCTTGGTCAGGTCGATGATAGAAGCAAGGCGAACTGCAAGGGTCTTGGTCAGGTCGATGATGGAAGCAAGGCGAACTGCAAAGGTCTTGGTCAGGTCGATGATGGAAGCAAGGCGAACTGCAAAGGTCTTGGTCAGGTCGATGATGGAAGCAAGGCGAACTGCAAAGGTCTTGGTCAGCGGCAAGGGGGGGTCTTCAATGGTCTTCAGCAAGGAGAAACAAGATGCTGAGTGTTGATGCGTGGAAAGTCAAGAGGTCCATGTTCGATGGCTATGGGCATGTTCGGTACATGATCTGCAGTGGAGTCTGATCAGGTAGCAAGGAAGTCGCAGACTGGTACATGGTTTATGTCACAAGTAGCTGCTCCAGGGAGTCTGCGAGGCAGGGTGCCGGCCAGGTGTAGCAGCATGGTGGCCAATCCAACTGCATAATCTCCATGAACAGTGGTGAAGCAAGCCATCGTCCTCGTGCGCATGCCATTAGATCCTTTATCGCCGACGTCACGCAGGTCCACAAACATTGGACAAGATGGACAAGGAAGTGGGGAGGGCGAATGGGGCAGGGCTAGGCAAGGGACAAGGGCAGATCAGACATCAGGAATCGGGATCAAGGGCAAGGGTGGTTGTGGCAGCGGTGTGTGTAGAACAAGGTGGCAAGGTTGTAGCAGGGTTTAAGCAAGGGTTCACGGTTTTAGCCAAGGTATAGGCAGGGGGATAGCTAGGATGCAGGGTGGGAACGATCATAGGCACGGACAAGTCTCATGGCATTCTTGAGATTTTCAAGGGGTTCCCATGTTGATTCTTCATCCGGGTAGCCTGTCCACTTGACTTTGTATCCTTTGATTTTTTCCGGGTGATCAGCAACTTGGGTTGTTCTACGGCCAATGATGGATTCCACGGAGAATTCAGGTCCAGTGGGGAGCATGATAGGAGGGGACGAGGGTAAGGGCGATCAAAGAACTGTGGCTTGGATTCATGGTATTCTTTGAGGTATTCGACATGGAAGACAGTGTGGACACGGCTCATGTCAGGGGGAAGCTGGAGTTTGTAATTGACGGGGGAGGTTTGTTCAATGATGGGGAAGGGACCGAGCCACTTGTTTGAGAGTTTCTTGGACATGCCCTGTTCGGGTTCAAAGCGTTTGGCGGAGAGCCAGACCTTGTCCCCTACTTGGAAGGTGATATCACGGCGATGCTTGTTGGCTTGTTTAGCTTGTTGTTCCTGGGTGTGTTGGATTGACTCGGTTGCTTCTCTTAGGAGACGGTTCATTGTTGCAACCCATTCATTGAGAGAGGGGCAGGTGGAGGATGGGTTGAGTTGAGATGGGACCAAGAAATCAGAGGGCAAGCGGGGGTGATAGCCAAGGTCAAGGTAAAAGGGGGACATGTCGGTGGCAGGGCAAACGACATTGTTGTAGGCAATCTCGGCGGCGATGAGCAACTGATCCCAATCATGCTGGTGGGGATGATAATACTTCCGCAGGATTCTTTGGAGAGAATCGTTCATCTTCTCGGTTTGTCCGTCGGTCTGTGGGTGGAATGCAGTGTTGTACCGGAGCGTGGTTCCGTAGGCATGGAAGAGTTGTTTCCAGAATTGGGAGAGGAAGCGGGGGTCGCGATCACTGATGATATTCTCGGGGAGGCCGTGGTGTCGGGCGACATGGTCGAAGAAGAGAATGGCAATGTCTTTGGCATTGTGCGAGGTGGTACAAGGAATGAAATGAGCGCATTTGGTCAGACGACAAACAATGACGTAGATGCAATCATGCCCGCGATCGGTCTTGGGAAGACCGCACACGAAGTCCATGGAAACGGACTATCATCGGTGCGTGGGGATGGGCAATTATTGGAGCTTACCGGGTTTGGCCCGGTTCGAGGGGTTGACAGCTTGACATGTGGGGCACGAGCGGATGTAGGCTTCGACGTCGGGAAGGATAGAAGGCCAATGGAAATATCGGGAGATAGTGTCAAAGGTTTTCTGGAAACCAAGGTGGCCAGTGTTGCTCGACCAAGAGCTGGGTGCGGAGGCCACGGGTGTCAGGGATGCAGAGTCGGCGGGTGCCTTTGGTCTCGATGTAAAGGAGGTTGTCATGTAGGGAGTAGTCGTGGACGGGGTCGAGGTCGTAGAGTTTGTTGTAGATGGTGGAGAAGTCGGGGCAAGAGAGGTATCCTTGGGTGTAGCGATGGCGGAGCGATGGCAGGAGCTGGATGTGGGTCATGGCGGCATAGACTTTCTTGGGGGGTTTGTGATCGGGGCGGCGGGAGAGGGCATCGGCAACGCAGTTGCTCTTGCCAGGGGTGTGACAAATGGTAAAGGTAAATTGGGCAAGGAAGTCTAGCCATCAGGCTTGGTGAGGGGTGATGTCTTTCTTGGTCAAGATGGAGGAGACGACAGTTTTATCGGTACGGATGGTGAAGTATTGCCCGTCGAGGTACGGGCGCCAGACTTTGAGGGCGTAGACCACGGCGAGGAGCTCCTTCTAGTTGGATGGATAGTTCATTTCTGCGGGAAGAAGTTTCTTGTTGGCGAATGCGATGGGGTGCTCGCCGGGTGGGCATTGGGAGTGGGTGGAGGAGTCCTTGATGGAGGGGGTTTCCGCAGGGTCGGGGGGAAAGTGCTGGGATAAGACGGCCCCGATGGCAAAGTCGGAGGCATCCGTGGTGACGAAGAAGTGGCGAGTGGGGTCGGCGATTTTGAGGACGGGGGCAGTGGGGATGAGCTCCTTGAGTTTGTCGAAAGCGGCTTGGCGGTGGTCTGTCCAAGCGAAGGGTTCGGTGGCACGGGTGAGCTCATAGAGAGGGTAGGAAACGTCGGAGAAGTTGCGGACGAAGGGGCGGTAGTAGTTGGCGAGTCCCGTGAAGGAGCGAAGTTGGGTTAAAGTGGTGGGAGGGGGGAACTCGACGAGGGAAGAGACCTTTTTGGGATCCATGCGGATGCCGTCGGCGGAGACAATGTGACCAAGGTATTCTACGCTAGAGGCAGCAAATGTGCATTTGCTGAGCTTGGCGTAAAATTTCTGGTCGCGGAGGATGGCGAGAACTTGGCAGAGATGATCAAGGTGGGACTCGAAGGTGGGGCTAAAAACAAGGATGTCGTCGAGGTACATCACGACACAGACTTCGAGGAGGTCGCGGAAGATGTGGTTCATGGTGGATTGGAATGTGGCGGGGGCGTTGGTGAGACCGAAAGGCATTACGAGAAACTCGTAGTGCCCGAAGCGGGGGCAAAAGGCGGTCTTGTGGGTGTCCTCCTCGCGGATGCGGATCTGGTGGAAGCCACTGCGGAGGTCGATCTTGGTGAAGTATTTGGCTCCACGGAGGCGATCAAGAAGTTCGGATATCCGGGGAAGCGGATACTTGTTCTTGATCGTGATCCGGTTCAAGGCGCGGTAGTCTGTGCACATGCGGAGTTCCGAGGTATCGTTCTTCTTGACGAAGAGACAGCTGGTTCCGAATGGGGAGGAGCTAGGCTTAATGAATCCTTTTTCAAGGAGTTCATTGAGCTGGCGCTTCATTTCTTCGGCCTCGAGGACGGAGAGCTGGTATGGGGGGCGGCAAGGGGGGGAGTGGCCGGGCTCGGGATCGATGGTGTGGGAAACACCTCGGTCGGGAGGTAGTCCGGCGGGCAAGGATTTGGGAAACATGTCTTTGAATCCGGATAGGAGGGCGGAGATCTGAGGGTCCGAGGGGGGTCCTTGGTCGGGTTTTTCCGTTGGAAGCAAGTCCTCGGGACGGTCGCGGTCAATGACAAGGCAATAGTAGGCGGAGTCGGGGTGCTCATGGGTCATGTGAAGAAATTGGAGAGGAGAGACGGGGGAAGGGGTGGAGGGAGGGAGAAGGTAGGTGATGTCAAGGGGTGGATCGGGGGGGGTGGAGAGGCGGACGAAAGAGGGGTGGAAGGTATACGGCATGTAGTGGTCGAGCCAAGGAGTCCCGAGTACGATGTCCCACATGAGGTGCATGACATCGAAGGAGACCTGACTGCGAAGAGGGCCGACAATCATTGTGGTCTCGGGGACTGTACGGTCGACGACGATGGCTGAGTCCTTATCCCCTAGGCGGATGGTGATCGGGGAATCATAGCCGGTGCAGGAGAGGCCGACTTTGCAGACACAGGCATCCGTGATGAAGTTGTCGGTGGCACCAATGTCGAGAAGGGCCCTGAACTCCACCGTCAATGCTCCAAAGGAGACGGTGACGAACTTGAGCTGGAACTGGGCGGTCCCGGCACAAACGGAGGAGATCATGGCGTTGAGGCGGCGCTGCCTGAGGCCTAATCTAACAAGCCGAGTGTGTCGGTCTTGTTTTTCAATGAGATCGGAGAAAGTGATGGTGGAGGGGTTCGGGAGGAGGGTAGTGGAACATGTGGCCGTGGGGTGCTCAACCGACAGAATAGAGGACGTCTTTGGAAAGAGGGCAGGCGGAGTAGACTGCGACGCCTGGGGGGTATCCGGTGTGAAAGTCGTCACCGGGGGAGGGGTTGGCAGGCGAATTGTTGGTGCCAGGACATGGCTACAAGGGGCGGGGGGACAGTGTTCAAGTGGATGAGGGCCCAGACGCCGCGATGGAGGAGGAGGAAGTGGATGTGGGAGGGCTGGATCCGGTGGGGCGGGAAGCCTGGTGGGTGGAGCGGCCGGCCTTGGGGCAATTGGTTTGTTGATGCCCCAACTGGCGGCAACGGAAACAATCGCCGTTGGCCTGGAGGAAGGCGCGGGGTGATCTTTTTGAGACGAGGGGGTTGGGGGGAGGAGGAAGGCTGGGAGGCCAGGCGTTGTCGTTCCATCCTCATGAGATGGACAGCCTGGAAGTCTTCCTCGGTGAATTGGGCTGGGTCAAGGGACTCGGGAGAGGAGTCAAGGCCGTCGTCGGAGGGGAGTGGCGAGTCGTCGGAGGCCATGTTGTGGAAGAACCGGGTGCGGTTGGGGGCGGCTGGTCGTTGAGGGCGGAGGTGAGGAAGGCGATCATGGTGGAGAAGGTGGGTAAGGAGATCGGTGAGAGGGAGCTCGGGCTCATGGGCGAGGGCTGCGGCGAGGTTGGGGAAGCATACCCGCTTGATGCGGGAGATGAAGACTTAGTCGGGAATGAGAGTCGACGGGATGTGGAGGCAGAGGGAGCGAACGTATTGGATGAATCGCTCGGTGGGGCCGGTTTGGCGGAGGTTGCAAAATTGATCGATGTAGTCATCGATGGTCTTTTGCGGATGGAAGGTGGCGATGAGAAGGTCGGCCCATTGAAGGAAGGTGATGCGGGGAAGGCCGTTGGCTCGGYGGTTGTTGGCTTCGSTTAAYMACCATTGAGCGGCGGCGCCTTGGAGGCGGGAGGTTGCGGTGGGGAGCCAATGAAYGAGGGGCATGTTGTGGAGATCGAAGGCATTTTGAATTTGAGAGAGGAAAAGGAGGACGTCCTCGTGGGGGAGGCCGGAGAACGTCGCGATATCGATGGCGCGGAAGGAGCGGGGAATGTCCTCGTTGCGGGGGACAATGCAAGCGAGGGTGTTGAAGTTGCAGTCGTCGGGAGAGGTGTCGTAGTAGGTGTAATCCTGATTGCAGTCACCAAGGAGGTAGCAAGGGGGAGGTTGGGGTACGGCGGGGTAAACGCGCGAAAGGACTTGGGAGTAAGAGGGGTGGACATAGGGGACGGTGGAAGTAGTGAGGATAGGTTGGGTGAGGGGGGAGGAGATGCGAAGGGGAGTGGTTCGTGTAGCGGTGGAAACGCTTGTAGTAGGTTGTGAGGAGGGGAGGGAAACGGGAATGGAAGTGACGGGGGTGGAAGAAGGTGTGGTGGAGGACGTTGGGGGGGGGGGTGTTGGAGGATGAGGCCTGGCCGGCTTGGCCGGCGGAAAGGTTTTGGCCAGATTGGCCGGAGGAGGAGGGGGGTGATGACGTCGTGACGACGGTGATGGCGGGTGTGTGGTTTTTGAGGGAGGTGACGCGATCGGATATGGAGGTCATGGAGGCCTCGATTTTGCAGAGCGAGGCGGAGAGTGCTTGAAACATGGAGAGGAGAGATGTGTTCTCCCCGGTGCCTGGCTGATCGACAAACTCGCAATGGATATCCTCGACGGAATCCATGCGGAGCAAGCCCATGTTGATGCTTGAGGTGCCTTCGGCCATGCGGAAGGACGAAGGTGGGGCAGAGGGAGAAGAAGGAGTGGAGGGGACAACGGAGGTGGCACCGGCAGCGGTGCGTTTGGAGGTCTTGGATAGGCGGGAAGGCATGTGGGAGTGGTTTCTAATCCCGATTTGGAAAAATGATGGTTGATTTAAGTCGGGATTAGAGGAAGTTGTCATGAGAGGAGAGCGGGGGGGGGGGAATGAAAATTCAGGGGCAAAGTTTTGGGAAAGAAAATTAAAATCGGAACGTAAATTTCGAATGGAATAAAATTTGGCGAAGAAAAATTGCAGAAAATTTGGGGTAAAAGAAAAGGGAAAATTAATTCAAAAATTAAATTTTCAATATAATGAAATTTGAATTTATTCGATTAATTTTCGAAAAGGGAAAAACTCTTGGAAAGAAATTCTAAATGACAATAAAAAGCTTTCGGGCTATTTTACATGACAAAATGTGGAAAATTTAAAATTGGAATAAATGGAAAATTTCAAAAAAAAATGGCCATATTTTGGGGGGGTTATTTTGAATTTTTAACGAATTTAAATGATGATTATGAAAATAATTTAAATCGGGATTTCTGAATTACTTTAAAAAAGAAAAGAAATGTTGGAAAAGAAAAAGATTAAATTCGAGAAAATTAAAATAAAATTTGAAAAAAAAAAAAGAATTAATTTATTTAGAATATCAGGTATTGGAAATAAATTAAAGGGAAGATTCGAATTTGGTTAATGTCCAGAATTTCAAAACGAAAAAAAAGTTAAATTCGGATTTAAAAATTGATTTGGTTCTTTTTCGGGATTTAATTATTTAAGTGAAAAAAAAAACTTTTTGGAAGAGGAATAGGAATTTCAAAAACGGAAATACTATTTTCGGGTGGAATAAAATTTTAGGATATTTTCGAAGAAATAAATTTCGAATTGCAAAATATTCGGGAAATAAGTATTTCAAAATTTTGAAAAAAGAAAAAGAGGCGCTAAAATATGACTACATTGCGAAATTAATTTTCGAAAGGTAATTGAAGAGGAAACAATAGTTAACCGCTAAGGATAATTTTGGAAAAGAATTAATTTCAAAATCGAACTAAGAAAGAAGAAAAAGAAAGAAAAACGAAAAACGGGTAAGTTCTATCATGTTTGCTATAAGAGATTCAATGATTTGTAAGCCTTGTCCTATTGTGCCATGGGGGGGGGTGTAGGGGAGGGAGCGGAGCTAACGCGCGGGAAGATGTGGGGGGAGTTGGCGCACGGAGGGGGAGAAAGAGGACGCGCGGGGAATTTGACGAGTTGGGAGGGATCGCGCTGTAGGTGGGGGTGAAGTACAAGCAGAAGGGAATCGGAATGGAGGGGAATGAGAGGGGGGTCGCGGGGATTTGGGGGGGGGGAGAAGGAGGAAGCACGGGGAGAA